ACTTAATAAAACATTTTATGAATCATTATGAATTTAAAACTCTATTTGTTTAATTAAATGCATTTTTAATACCTATTTTGTGCACTTTCATGGAAATAGTGCATAAAAGACCTATGTTGTGCACTTTCATGGAAATAATACACAAAAGAACCACTGTGTGCACTTTGATGGAAATAGCACAAAAATCCCTTTGTATGCATTTTGATGGAAATATTACATAAGAGATCCATTGTGTTCATTTTAATGGAAATAATGCACAAGAGACCCTTTATGTGTTATTTGGTAGATTTAGTGCACAAGAAACTTAATATATACACTATAATGAAAATAGTAAACAAGAGGCTCATTGTGTGCATTATAATGAAAATAATGCAGAGAAGGCCTAAATAGAAGATTAAGAACTAGTTCAATTTGTGACCCCTTGAGAACTAAGATTAAGGAAAAAGTTCAAACATAATGGAATTTTAACAAGGAAGGTATGGTCATTTGAAAATGGCTAGATTAGAGCCTAAAACATTTGTGGTAATGTCATTTTATTTGTTTAGTATTTAGGCTTGTCTTCAATTTGTAATAACCATTTTATACATATTCCATCTAAAACTCCAACAGTTTTACATGACATAATAAACGAAATAGTATACATGTTTCATCTAAAACTCCAACAGTTCTACATGACATAATAAACGAAATGGTCAAATATTATATGTTAAACCAATTGTGCATTAACTGATAATTTTCTTAATATTACATATACATTGAACCCGTTCCATTTTTTATCAGTAGAGTTCTCATGAACATGTTTGGGATTCTTAAGCAAATATAGATGCAATATTATTACAACACTATAAACTTGGGTATAAAAATTTATTAATTGTCTCTCTTAAATGATGGAAATTGCATACCATGACCCAATTCTTAACATTATAGGAAATAATGCAAAGAAATTTGGCTAGTTCTTTATCAAATTTTCATTTATCTACTTTCTTTTAACCCCCTAATGTTTGAAAAATCTTACACAGCTTTGTGAATCATCTCTATGTCACACAAAGTTGTGATACACACACAATGTCATCTAAATTCCTTTGAAATCCGTGAACCAAAGAGATCTATTAAATTTCAATCAATAAATGCTTGTAATTTAACTAGGATACCTAAACGTCTTAACAAAATATATATATATATATATATATATATATATATATATATATATATATATATATATATATATATATATATATATATATAATGAAGAGTGTAGTCAATTTTTTTTTAAAAAAAGCTCCACAAACTTGTTACGACACTAGTAAGAGTAGTTTTCTAAAAAGTTGGCATATAAGATAGTTGATGAACTAATTTTTGGTTTGTCAAATACAAAAACATCCAAAGGTCACCTTGGGTTCTTTAACAGGGGCGGATTTAGGGGGGTTCCGGGGTGGCACCGGCAACCCCTAAATTTTTCGGTTACAGTGGAAAAATTTTCGAAAATTTTTAAAATTTTTATTTTTTCTACTATTGTGCAACTCCTAATCTTTCCGTGCAACCTCTACTATGAAATCCTGCGTCCGCCCCTAAGTTCTTATGAGGGCAAGGAAGATGGTATGTTTAGTTGTAGCAAGTCTTTACTCTTTATAACACTTCTCTTTGCTCTTTATAACACTTCACAAAGATTTTGCAGTTATTTCTTATGACAACCTGGTTGAGTGAGAGAGTACGATACATCGATATAAAAGTTTGATCCCTTAGGATCTTGGTCCATGATAGCCTTTTGATTAATAGAATTGGAAGATGAGGAAGATAGGGCTTATGATGATCGTCTATTTGAGTCACTTATTTCGTATATCTATTTTAAGTGTTTTTGTCTTGTTTTGTTTTGTTTTTACGAATGCAAAGTCCTTAAAATCACAAGTTTGACGCTTAAGAAAGAACTATTCTTTGGTGGACGTGGGACTTGGGACCTCCACAATAAGTATGCAGGATGAGCCTAAAGAAGCTCCAATCAACCAAGCCACGAAGTTTGAGAATAAGGTGAGATCTCGGCATTTAGTGGCCAACGAATCACCGATCAAAAAGTAGATTTTTGGTATTAAGCAACCTTGAAAAAACATTATTCATTTCATTTATTAATTCATATGGAAATATAATTTATTTGTATATTTTATTTACTGGATGTATTATTTAGTATTAGACATGATCATATGTCATGTCTCAATTGTTTTTTTTTTTTTCAAAAAACTGTCAATTAAAGAGTACGTATACAATAATTCCACATCTATCTTACCCATATTGTATCTCATTTAATTAAATTAAAATTTTAGTATTCACTTTTCAACATATATAAGCTTATTCTCACAATTACAAAGCTTATAAAGTTATAATAGAAATAGTTTTATCAACAATATTTTGAGAACATTACTTTTTTTACAACAAATTTGAAGGATAAACAATAAGAAACTTTGAAATGTTATTTTCTTGACATCTCATTTGTTGGTGATTTGTTATCATCAATGTTATTTAAGTGTAATGGGATTACTTTGTTAACTAAAAATGATCTTGATAAATATTAAACAAGTAAGGAAGGTGTGGAGTACACACTTGTTTAATTTTGATCAAGTATCAAAGTACACTGTCATTTAAGGTCGAAACCCCTGAACGAACGGGGGTCCGGGGGCAGCGCCCCTGGAGCGGGGTCCAAGGGGCGGCAGCCCCTGGCGGGGTCCAAGGGGCGGCAGCCCCTGGCTGGGATCGAAAATCCAAATTTTGAATATTTGACCCGGTTTTGACTTTGCATTAATCTTTATACCAAACCCGGATTTATAACAATTTTGACTGTTGAGAAAACTGTTATATGACAGTTTTGACAGTTTTTCAGACAATGAATGTATATAACCAATTTTAGTCAGTTTTCTGGTACTCACGAAAATTACACCATCTCATTCTCTCTTTCTTTCTCTTTGATTTTATCTGAGTCTTATCCAATTGAGGATTTGGGAGTACCACCCAAATACTTCGATTTGAAAGTGATTATCACGATTCTTAGATTTCCAAGTGCCACTAAACCATATTTCTAACATCATTGTGAATTATCTTCTCCTATAATTTACCCACAGGCTGTTTGTAGATGTAACATGATTCCGTTCATGAAGTTGATATCCACTATGCATTCCCATTCTCCATTTTCATTCGTCCTTTTTCCCAACGCCCACATCATTAACTTACCAACAATTGCTCTTAATTATAATTTATACCATCCCTACCCCTTGAAACATATGATATATATTAATATATATTCTCACACACACACACTCCTTTTCTACTTTGATACTTCAAAATCATAAGTTACGTCAAATCGATTCTTGTAATTTAGCAATAGATTTTGAAATTGTTATAGTTCCATATATTCAAATCATTCGATATGGTTTTGTATTTTATAGAAATCTTTATGTTATGATAATGAAAATTAAAGAAAAAAAAAAAGAAAGGATATATTCACAAGAATAAAATAAGAAGAAATAAGAGAAAGAGAGGACATAATGTCCACTAAAAGCAAAAGGGTGAAAAGAATGTCGCTCCATTTTCAACCTCAAATTCAGAGAGAATCGTTTCAATCCGTCTGAATGCTATTAATCGAATTTTCAGAAACCATTATTTAAACGTTTTGAATCAATATTTGGGTAAAAAAATCTAATTTATACTTTGTATTCTATCTCTTGTACGTTTTAGGAAGACTGTTTCATTATTCCTCAAAATTTTAAAATATTCTTTAATAATATTTATTATAGAGTACATCAAAAATTTATAAATAAATTAAAGGATACCGTATACATGGATAGGATAGCAGTAAATAACACGCAAGAATTGTTATAATGTAACCATATGAGAAGAAAATTAAATCAAGTTATATGATTATATCTTTATAATAAACTGAAAAAATAATCTGAGAATATATTTTATGTATTGAGATAAAATTATCTTCTTGAAAACGAGATTTTGGTACCTAACATTGGACGTACCTAAAAGATAAAACTTTGGATAAGTAAATTGTGTATGAGTGCTATTCCCACCAAAAACTGTATAATAATTAATAAACATAAAATATAAGGAAGAAAAGGAAAGTCAGCTGAAAGTGGTTGATCAATGCTCATTCTACTTATTTTAATTAGAAAGGGGTCGTGTCAACCTCCATGAATACAAATGGGCACAACCGTAATTTCAGTTCATTCTACTCATTCTTCTTCTTCTTCTTCATGTCGATTTCCATATGGGTGATGAGTGATCATGACTAAAAAGTTATCTTGATTTGAAAAAGGAAACGTATTAAATTTGATAATGCAGAGACAAGTTGCAAAATATATATCTCCTGAATGTGTTGTCGTTATCTTTATTTTGAATGTGTTGTTCTCCAAAAGTCCAGAACATAAGTTTAGAATTCATTAACTAATTTATGGAAGGAATTTAGGGGAAAAATTGTTGTCGATAAGGGGCATAATAGACTATTTTTAGAAGAATACATTTGAGCAAACAAGATATTATTGTTGTGGAGTTGTGCTCTACAATACCGAAAGGGTGTGGGACGAATGGATATCATGACAAACTTATCTATCGTTAATTTGTTGCAAATTAATGAGACCATGAATTTTTGGATGAAAACATAAAGAAGTGATTTCGTTTAATTAGGTCGCCCATAATTAATAATACTCATCACCTAAATATGTTAGGTGGATGTATGCATATGTTATTAGTTGATTTGTGTATGTATCTATAATATCTTTATATGTATCACTACTACAAAAAGCTACATATAACCCGCCACATAGGACCCCGTATTTAAAAAAAAACGGGGTTATATTATGTAGAAAACAGGTTTTATGAAAGGAAGAGTAATACAACACGGTTTAAAGTATGAATTGTACAAGCCGACTCCAATGCTACAACCGGGTTTATTTCTCTATAGAGTTATATGACCTGGTTTTATAGCTACAATTGGGTTCTATTGCTATGGGATGCGAATTGTAGAGGTCTGATCTAACTTTCAAAAACATTGTTTTTAACATATGACTATATATCAAGATACATTATTTAATGTTTTTTTACAGATCATGAAACAAAATTAAAACTTTAAGCTCAAAAGATAATTATAAAATTATTTATGATGATATCTAGTATAATTGGCCACGGATTACAATTGTTCTCATCCATGTACATCTTCATTTTTCTTTACCTTTTTAGCTATCGTATACAAATCAAGTATAATTGTGTGAGATGAATCAAATGGTTTATCAATATAGGAACAACGAACAAAGCAACAAAATACTACCACAAGTTTGATACTAACAACTGCAAGGGGTGGTACGAAGAACATGCCTAGCCAAACAACCAACAAAGCAAGACCGATTGAGTTTCTTCGTGATCATTTGAAGACCAACTCAGTGGTTAACATCAAAGCTGATTCTTGGATTTTTCAAGTTAGGCCATATCATTTTTCGGTTACATGTGAAGATTATTTTCGCTTGTTGAGAAAACAAACAGATATTTCCATTATAACAACTTGGCAGATGTAAGTACCTCAAAAACTATTATGTGTTGCCATAATGATTAGGTAGGTTCAAAGATTTTAGTTGATGTAACTCACTTTTTTGTAGGAATTTACATTCAATGGTTCGAACATGTGTGAACAAATGTGTTTTCCTAAACCCATATAAGATACTAGGGGAAGCTTGCCAAAAACATCCTAAGGGTGTTGTCAGTTATCTTGTTGATGCGATGCGTCTTTATCATGGAAAATTGTTTCTCATTGCACCATATTTGCAAAAGTACCATAAATTGATATCTTTATTATTATTTATTTGTCTTATTTGTTCATTTATACTAACATTCTTAATAATTACTAGTAAGCATTGGGTTCTCTTGGTGATGATCTATCACTGCAATCGTTTTGTGTACGTTTTGGATTCTCTTAAGAAGCCTGTAGAAAAGCTCGGCACTTACTGCTTGCTCAAAAAGCATGTGTACATGTAAGAAATTTATTAGTATAGTCTTAAAATTATTAGTTTGTAATAAATTTGAACACCATACTATTGATTTTTATCTTTTTAGGGATTTCACGAGATATGAAAAAGACATATCAACTTCAATTGGATGGATTCTCACTGAGGTAGTTTATATCACTTACATCCAAACAAATTGATCTTTTATTTGTCTGATTAATGTTTTCTTTCTATTACATTTTCGGTGTAACCAAGAACTAGGTGTTTTAGAGAGTGGACATTACTTAATGAGATGGATGTGTGACTTTGTCTTGACCAAACAATATGGATTTTCAAATAAAGTAAGTACTTTTAAATATCTTTTCATTGGTTCAAGTGTAAATTTGCAATAACTTTCTGTTTTGTTAATTAATAGTTTAATTTTTATTTCTCAAAAGTCTGATATTCTTTGGAATGATGACACTCATGAGAAAAAGATGTTGGTTTCGATCGTAGCTATGTGGGTCAGGGAATTTTTGAATCATTATATAAATGACATGGTCCTTTAAAAAACATATATGGTTAGTTATTAATTTCACAACATTCTACTTTTGGTTTAATGATCGAATGTTGTTATAGAAAATCTCATTATTGTTGTGTTTGTTTTTCAGAATATAGAGTTGATTTTGATGTCTTGGACAATCTCTCTACAAATGGATCATAGATGTTCTTTCTTTAGTTTTTTATGAAAGTTTTATGTAGTAGAAAATTACCAAAATGATGGATCTTTATTCTCAGACATGTTTTTTCTTTGATGTTGCTTCTATCAATCTACTATGGATGATTATTTAGTCTATGCAAATTTACAGTATTTTTCATTTATACCTACAGAGCTTCTTATTGAATGCAAAAAAATAGAATATCATATTGTATTTGGTAATAGGTCTATAGATTAAATAAAAGAAATATAAAAAATGCAGTTAAATGAGCCGGTTGCAATGAATCTGGGTTATATAAGGTTTGCGATATCCGTTTCAAAAAAATCTAGCTACATAATAGAACCCGGTTGCTTAAATGAAAATCGACCTTTATGATGAAAAAAAAAACGGTGATGAGTTAGAAGAAAACCCCCGGTTTTTTGTGATGAAATCGGTCTTTATTATGGAAATATGATCCGGTTCTACAACCAGGTTATATCAGGATTTCAACTTAGGACTCGCTTATAAGGAACCCGATTGAAAACCGGGTTATATTAAGCTTAAAATCAGGTCTTTTAGGCTTTTTGTAGTATGTATCTATGTATCACTTGAGCTCTTGAATATGTGTATGTATGTTCATACAAACACTACTAGAAAACTGGGTAAATACCTAAGAAAAATGACGGAATACGGACACAATAGCAACAAAATGAAATTCCGTCTATGATTACAGACAGATTGGATTTAGACTTATGTTTTTTTTTTGCTATCAGTCAGTAATCACATACAGAAATATTTTTTTAAAAAATAAATCAATTTTTTTATTACTATAAAAATAGTTCAATTATTATTATTAGTATTAGTTATTAATTAATTCTTTACTTTTATAATTAAAATAACTTAAATATTTACCAAATAGTTTAATTCATATAATTATTATAGTACTAGTATTTTTATTATTACTTATGTTTAATAAGAAAATAATAAAATACCAACGAAATTTTTTTGTAGGCAATAATCAACTTTTTGTAATAGTATTATATAGTATAAAAATAATTAAATTATTTTTATTAATACTTTTTATTACATATAATTATTTACCAAACAATTTAAACCTTATTATTATTATTACTATTTATCTTAAATATTAGTATTCATAAATAAACATGATAATAATAATAACAATAACAATAATAGTAATAATATAAATAATTAAAATAATAACAATATGATAATAATAATAATAATAATAATAATAATAATAATAATAATAATAATAATAATAATAATAATATCGTCCGTTGGTAGTGTTGTAAAAATATTGTTTGTCGGTTTTGTTGAGAATGCTTACGGTCACCTTTAAAGGAGCAGCAAAAGATTGGTTGAAGGATCTTCCCCCGAGATCGATCACAACATGTGCATGAATACGCGAAGAATTCATCCAACAATTTTTCCCACCATTGAAGGTTTCTAAATTGAAGAAAGCTATTGCAAATTTCGAGCAGCAAGCGGGAGAATCATTGTATGAGGCATGGGAGCGATACAATGGTTTGTTGAGGAATTTCCCTCAAAACGATCTAAATGTTCAACAAGAAGTCGCGGTTTTCTACGATGGTGTGAATATTACAACTAGACAACTCCTTGACTCTCAAGGACCACTCACAAAGAAATCTCCTGCAACAATAAAATAATTGATTGAAGAGTTTTCTAAACACTCGAGTGAGTATCACGATCCCCAAGATAATAAGACGAGAGGATTCAAGGAGGGAAATAGTGGATCGGAGGAATTAGTTGTGGTTATGGTGAAATTAGAGAGCATGGACCGAAGGATGACTAAAATGGATAAATCCATTCATGCCATAAGAGTGGAGTGTGACAATTGTAATGGACCACATTTCACCAAGGATTGTGATCTTAATGAAAATGGAAACTGAAAAGCTCAAGCATGTTATTCAAGTGGAGATTGATTCGACGATGATCGGAGAAAGCCCAAGAAGGAATGGTTTCCGTATGAAGAATACAAGAAAGTAAAGGACGAAAAGTATAAACAAAAGATGTGTGGTTTTTATCAAAAGGATACACGAAAAACTAACTTTGAAGCAATGATCGCTCGATTTTCTGCCGCATCTGAGAAGAGGCATGATGATTCTGATGTTGTACTCCGAAATCAGCAAGCATCGATCCGAAATATTGAGCAAGAAATTGGGCAACTTTCGAGGCTATATGTAACCAGATGTGAGATAGACATTTGAATAGAAGATCCCACTGTAGAGCCACAATCAAACAAGGAATATATAAGAAAGCCTAGATCAAGAGTTCTCATGCTATCCTACATGACTACATATAACCCCTAGGGCACTCCACTAGACGATCACCAAGTTACTAGTACTCTAACTAGCATACCACTACTCCTATATATATTAACATACAAGGATAGCCACTATAATACATAGTATAGTTAGGAAACTCACATGAATCGAAGACCCAATAAAACACAACAACATACGTACTCCTGCACTGATCGCTCCCGCGAACCGGCTAGCACCAAACCAAGGTGGACCTTAATCAATAACTTAATTTCTTCAAGTTTGACCCAAAGTCAAACTGGTCAAAAAGTCAACGGCCAACCCTCACCACGACGTGGAGGACTCTTGGCCAATTCGTGGGAACATCTGAACAAAATAGTCGTGAGAACCTCAATCATCATGATGTAACTAGCATATCGTCATGTCATGGGAGGTGATCCTAGACAACTTAATGGATTAAGCCCTTAATCCATTAAACCACACACCCATCTCCTCCAAAAGGCTTCCTTATACCCAAAGAGTCATAAAAATCGTTTCTTTATATTCATGCATGTCCAATGCATTCCTTTCCCCAAGATAAGTCACAACAATGGTGGAAATGAGGTAAAAAATTACATGCCTGATCCAAAACCTAACCAAATCTCAGATTTGGAACACTAAACCTCAAAAGGATCTCAAGGATCCATAAAGTTGCCAACTCTATGGAATCCATCAGTAACGGTCCAAAAATGCTAATAAATTTTCATTTTTAAATCATTAAATCCATACAAACATTTATTCCAAAACCAATCAGAGTAAAAAATAATAATCAATGCAGAAAAAGCCATCAGGGGATGTTGTGCAGTCATGCTGGGCCCTTCCATTTAGAACTGAAAGTACCTGAAAATGTTAAAACAGTAAACCACAAAACCATAAGAACAAAACTTAGTGAGTTCCCGAAAATACCACATACCATACTAATAGGCCCAATCCAACATAAAAATGGGTCAAACTCAACATACATACAAATAGGCCCAACCCAACATACATACAAATAGTCTCATCCAAACATACATACAAATGGCCTAGCCCAACATGTAAATGCAAGAGTCATAAAGATAGTTATCATCCTACACAGTATAGTGAGAAGACGTACCTCAACTTAAAGATAAGATAAACCACCCACTCGAGCCGACGTTATAAAGTTTCCTCTTGCTAAAAATATACACAATAAAACCCTAATTAACAATTAAGGTAATAACTAATGCACGGAAGTTCAAGGATGACAATTAAACCTCCTTGGGCAAAAGACCATTTTTTTCCTTCCAGTACTAAGTCCCAACATGGTTGACCAAAAGTCAAACTAATCAAAAAGTCAATGGTTAATCCTCAGTTGACTTACGCTCAACATAGCATACAAATCTACGCCTAGTATAGAGCTACGCTTAGCATATAGAAGTCTACCCAGCGTAGGGCTACACATAGCATACAAAATTTTACGCTCAGGATAGAGCTACACTCAGCGTACAAAAGGCTACACCCAACATAGAGCCCCCGATTCCCAAAATGTAACACCCATAAAATTCATGAAAAATTTTAACTTTTAAGACAACACTACAAATCAGCATTGTTTACATAATAGTTTTCAAAACATGTTTATTATCTGATTTTTCCCAAAGATCATAAAGAAAACATGAGGAAGTGTACGATTACGCCTTTGTCTTCCTGCAATCATCAGAGGTACCTGAAACATAAGAAAAACTATAAGCCCAAAGCTTAGTGAATTTCACCAAAATACCAACTCAATACAAAACCAGAATAATAATCATAAACAACATGCATACAGAGCCTTCGGTCTGACTGGAATGCCCCACCGGGTTGCAGTCTATCTGGTACGCCTATAGAACCTTAAACATGACGGGTACGCCACACCGAGCCTTCAGCCTATCTGGAACATTCTCCGGGCCTTCGGCCTTACTGGTACGCCCCATTGGCCTTCAGTCTAACCGAGACGCCCTAATTTTGTTGGCCTTCAGCACCAAGCAGGTCCACCTCACCCCAATCGCCATCACATGTCAACATACATCATATCAAACACTAGCTAGCATGTATAAACAGTCATAAATCTAACAAATTACTAATCATAGCATCATCATATATACCATGATACAAAATCTAACAGATCACTACACATATCACTATACTTTTGGTTTACTAGTAAACACGTTGTGTTTCGTTAGCATTCATACGGTCGGGAAAACCCCAGCCAACACGCTGTGTTTGCGCGAGTTCCAGCGGTATACATTCAGTTGTTTCCTTCAACTCTAGGGACTCAAGGGATTAGATCTAGACCCAAATGCTATCAAGAAGGATAAAGTTTCCAACTTTATCCGTTGGGACTACTCCAAGGGTCCAAAAACCCATCCACAAGGCTTGAAGATTCAAGGGCTTAACCAATAAGCACTAAATCCTTAAAGTATGGAACTCATACTTTCCATAAGAGATTCTAGTACCAAAACCATCCCAAAGGTCAGTGCTTTATACACATGCATGTCCAATGCATGTCTTGAACCCAAAATAGGTCAAAATGGGGATTTAT